TCCAATTAATTATTCTTTTCATCTCAACCAAAAACCTTAGATAAAAAGAATAATTAATATGGTCAATTATGACCACTAAGTAAATATGGCATATTAAAATTATTTTTCATATTTCATATAACTTGAGAAATGTGAGAAATTGTGGTTTTTACGAGCCACATTATTTTTATATTTTAAAAATATTCGCTTTTTAATTTCAAATTAACGTTTCTTAATTTCGAATAAACTCTATTTATTTTCACATTAACCATTTAGGCTAGATTTGTTCAAGTGGTTGGTGGCAGTGCGCCCAACTGGTATGACTATGCTTCTACACATATGGGTTATACCTCACTTTCAAGTTATAGGTGTTTTTTATGCCAGCTATTTGGCTTCCTAGTTAAATTTACAGAATTGGGCTTTTCCTTGCCCGTGAATAGGAAACATTTTCCTTGTTAGGCCTTTGCAGTAACATATGGTATATACTGTTTCTTCCTATTCATTTTGGCCGAACCATACGTTATGTTGTCTTATGTTACTGCTAGTCAGCAATACTGCCATGATCAGAAGTTTTTTCCAGTTCTGATGCAGGTCGTAAGTTTTTTGTGGAAGTAGACCACGATCCTGCAGTAATGTTCACCAGTTATGAGTTAACTTGATCCATTCGGGAATTGTTCATTTTTTATGGCAGTTTGTAATTACTGCGGATAGATAAACTTCTTTACCCTTTTACTCTGTTACATTACTGGAAAAGGAACTTAGGACAACAGAAAGTCATGGAGAGATGCCAACAGGGATAGAAAAAATTTGTGCCCTATGATCCACTGCGATCAAGGAAGTCTGTGTGTCCAAGAACCTAATTTTTCCCAATGCACTTACACATAAAGTCCGTGATCTTACCTCAAGTGTGTCCAGTGCAATATGGAACTTTTAACCCTTTAATTTCCTCCCATTAATACCGGGGATTGTGCGATGTTGATCCCTCCAACTACCAGAGTCGTTGAATGGTCGACTTTTCTTCCATCTCTTTTCTGCAGTAAGACCTTCTGTGTTCATTTGGCATGTGAAGTACCTAGAAACCAAGGAGTCCACATGCCCAATATCACTTCTTTTCCCAATTCTTCTCCTAAGTTTCCATACGTTTTCTATCTACGCTTTTTATGATAGCTCCCCGTAGCCATAGTGGCTCCATATTCTTTCTTTATTTTTTATTTTAAAGGGTAAATTTCTCTGGGATTGGATCTACTCTCAAGGATTTCAAGATGCCGTTTTCCAACTAGAAGACTAATTATCCACAACTATTAAAATCAGATGAGTGGTCGCAATTCTTTCGCTAATGTTTTTGTACAGCAATAAAAATTCAAGAGCAAATATTTATCAGTCTAATTTTTTGTGTGATAATATTTCACTTGAACAATGAAACTGGAAGTGAAAGTTTAATTTCTTCCGTCCCACTTCAAAAACAACCATTTGTAGGTCAAAAACAAAGAAGAGCAGCAATTTATTAAATAAAAAAATGAGCATAATATTTACTTGGGGCCAGTCCAGACTAATATTTAACCGAATAAAAAAGATATAAACGTCAACTGCATTACTTTAAATAAATTTGTATCGTGAGGAGGAAAATATATTTTTATATTTTAAAAGAGATTTCGTTTTAACTATTTTGAAAAAATACATTTTTTTAAAACTTTATTATTTGAACTTGTTTAATATCTAATTTTAATTAACTATTCGATACAGGCTTTGGCCGAAAAGAAGTGCAAATAAAATAAAGAAGATTTCAATTGAAACTTCAGCTCCCTCAAAGAGATAATCCTCCGATTCATATTACCCCGGATACCCTTTATAATAATGGGAGGTCATAAATTCCACCGGCTAGAAGTGTTTGCGAGGGCTGATGAAAGGCAAAAAGCCCAAAGCTGTTAATCTTTCTCCCTTTTTCCCCGCAATTCGGGACATTGATTGAAATGCACTATTTGCAAAACAGAAGCTGACCGTGATAAATTCTTTTGTTTGAATTGAACTGGTAGCTGAAATTCAACTGGTAATATACCATTTCCATTGTATAACTTCAGTTTGTCCTGTACAAAGAAACTAGGTACTTTGTTTGAATTAAATAACGATCAAAGTTCCAGCGTGAAATCTGTTGTGCCGATCTGCTATCAAGCAATTCAATCAGATTCAGAATCTCAAAAGCGCTCGGATTAGCTATAACGAACATACAAAGCTGTCTCGGCAAATAAAATTATAGATAAAAATAGGGTTTAAATGTGATAAAAATAGTAGTAACGCTATAATAATTACACCGCTGATAGTACCTGAACCATTCTGTGGCATAGGAACCCACACTATTAACGAGTATCTCAGACAGAAGGGCAAAAAGAAAATGAGCAAACTTTGGAATTCACTCATTGGACACAGACAATCCGACAATCTTCTAACCAATTTTGGAAGGAAAGAAATTACAGAATGTGTCAAGGGAAGCAGGAACAAACTGCGAATCCTGATAGCATTCCTAACAGGACACTGCAAGTTAAACGGGCACTTAAAGAAAATTGGAATAATCCAAGATGGCACAAGCAGATTCTGCAAGGAAGCAGAAGAGACACCAGCACATTTACTTACAAACTGCCGAGCTACACTAACCCGCAGGAGGAAATGTTTTGGGATGTATAATGTGACCGTAGAAGAGCTTCAACCATTGAAACCGGGCCTACTAATCAAGTTTCTTGATGAAATAGGACTCACCGATGTGCTTTAGGCAGAGCACGGGGGATATAACAGCTCTTAAATGGCGCAGTACACCCCGGAACTATACATCTACACATCTAAATAATAATTACAAACTACCATAAAAAAGGATCAATTGCCGAATGGATCAAGTGAACTTATAACTCCAGGTTCGTGGTGTACTTCCACAAAGAACATAGACATACCTTCAACAAAACCAGAAAACTTCTTATCATGGAAGTATTGTTGACTGGCAGTGACATAAGACAACATATTGATTCTGTCAAGATGAGTAGGAATCAGCAGTATATGCCAAATGTTGCTGCCAAGGCCTAACAAGGAAATTTTTCCAACTCACGGGCAAAGAAAAGCCCAATTCAGTAAATTTAAATAAGAGGCCAACCTGGCTACGGAGCTGGCATAAGAAACCTGTATTTAAAAGTGACCTATAACCCATTTGTGTAGAAGCATAGTCATACCTGATGGGCGCACTGCCACCAACCACTTCAACAAATCTAGCATAAATGGTCAATTTGAAGATAAATATATTCATTCTCAACCAATTTCATTTCCTGCGTAATTCTGTTGTTCTGTAAAGAATAAGGAGTCACTATGGCTACGGAGCTATCATAAAAACCATAGATAAAAAATTTATGGAAACCTAGGAGAGGAATTGGGAAGAGAAGTGATATTGGGCATGTGGATTCCTTGTTTCCTAGGTACTTCACATGCCAAATTATAAGTACTGCAGAAAGCACCATGGGATACCATTCAACGACTCTGGTAGCTGGAGGGATCAAAATCGCACAATAAAAAAAAAGGGGGGGGAATTAAAGGGTTAAAAGGTCCAGATTGCACTGGACTCACTTGAGGTAAGATCACGGACTTTATGTGTAAGTGCAGTGGGAAAAATTAGGTTCTTGGACACACAAACTTCCTTGATCGCAGTGATAGGGCACAAAGTTCTTCCATCCATGTCAGCTGTTGGCATCTCTCCACGACTTTCTGATGTCCTAAGTTCCTTTGCCAGTAATGTAACAGATCAAAAGAGTAAAGAAGTTTATGGATCCGCAGTAATTACAAACTGCCATTAAAAAAAGAGCGACTCCCGAATGGATTTAGTTAACACATAACTGGTGAACATTACTACATGACGTGGTCTACTTCCACAAAAAACTTACGACAACCTGCAACAAAACTGGAAAAAACTTCTGATCATGGCAATATTGCCGACTGGCAGTAACATAAGAAAACATAACGTATGCTTCTGCCAAAATGAATAGGAAGAAACAGTATATACCATATGTTACTGCAAAGGCCTAACAAGGAAAATGTTTCCTATTCACGGGCAAGGAAAAGCCCAATTCAGTAAATTTCACTAAGAAGCCAACATGGCTACGGAGCTGGTATAAGAAAACCGTAATTTAAAAGTGACCTATAACCCATATGTGTAGAAGCATAGTCCTACCTGATGGACGCAGTATCTACCACGACCAACCACCTCAACAAATCTAGCATAAATGGTCAATTTGAAGATAAATATAGTTCATTCTCAACCAATTTAATTTACTGCTTAATTCTGTTGGTCGGCGTTATGATGAACGTTATCAGTAGATTAAGCGATATGTATCATTATGGCGAATGATTTATTAATGCGTTTTACACGGCCTGTTTTGTTCATTTGTATTTGTCCTATATTAAGTCAAAATGATCAGAATTACAGAAGATATTAAAGCCTTTACTTTTACCAGGAATGACAGGAATGGGACATGTCCTACACTTTATATTTTATGGTTATTCAGATATCGTGAGATGCGGTCGGGTGTGATGTAGGTTTCAGAAAAACATTTTCTTTATCGTGCCAACGTTTCGATCTTTTATTGAGATCATCTTCAGGGCNTGAAGATGATCTCAATAAAAGATCGAAACGTTGGCACGATAAAGAAAATGTTTTTCTGAAACCTACATCACACCCGACCGCATCTCACGATATCTATTCAGATCGATTAACGGTCACTAATCTCTACACATTTATATTTTATTGAGAAATCTATATCCTCACCCTGCTTATAACCCTGAAGTGGCGCAACCCGAAACGCATTTTACAGACTAAAACAGGTAGACATCCCATTGCTCGTACACATAATCAGAATAATGAAAAAAATTACACGACCAATATTTTAAATCTCTGTTCCAAGAAAATACAGACAGGCATACTAGGTCACCGACACTGTTCGAAATTGGTTTAACAGTTTCTGTTTATAAGAATTCCGCTTTTGTTTACATACCTTGAAGTGGGGAGAAACATGGATCCGTCGATAAACACCGATCCGGACAGCAGTATATACCAGCATGACGATAATTCACCGGTACTAAAACAGAAAAATAAATAAATTAGTCTTACAAAAAGTACAAACAAAAACGGCCTGTAAAAGATTTGTGCTGTGTACATATTTGGTTAAGGGCGTCATGGAAGGATTTGAATTAAAACATTTTTTTTCCTCCTCGATTATTGATTTACTCAACTTTATATTATAAAGGAAAAAAACATATTTTCAAATTTTTACCACTATATATAATATTAGATTTACAAAGTTAATTTTAATATATTCAAAATCAAGTGGATTTTGAGGCTACAATAGAAAAAGAAGTGTGAGATATTTCCTTGAGGTCTGCGAGTTTCATTCGTAGTTTGGTCGTTCCCTGGAAGTAGGAGTTATAAGCAGGGTGAGGCACCGACAAATTAAGAAACCAAAAATGGTGAAACGCGTCCGACAGATCAAAACTGCGACGACAAGTAGATCATAATGATCGGAAATCACCAAGCTACAAATGTAATTATAAATATCAAGAAATCATCAAAAATACATAAAACGTCGCTTGTGTACTTTTATAATTTGTAAAATGTAAAGGGGCAAGAAGTAAATCCATTAACAAATCGCTTTAGTTGAAATATAATTGTGAGATTTTCTCATTAGGTCTACGGGATGATGTACAGTCATCATGGTGGGTCAGGGATATAAGCAGCCTACTCAAGACTGAAAAGCCTGAGGAGTGATGGGTGAGTTTGGTCTGGCTATACTACGATTCAGTTCGTCGCATTCAGTGGTAAGGGTTATAAGAAGGGTGAGGCACCGACGACCCAACGAAATGCTGAAACGCGCCAAAACAGCGAGGATAGGCAGACCAAAATAAACGGAAACGACCAACTACAAAATTTAATTGTAAATATCATGAAACTAATAAAAAAATTCTATATTTTAGTCGCTTTTAGTCCTTTTGAAACAAAACCCATCTATGAAATGAAATGAAACCTCCAACAGGAATAAAACTGAAATGGAGAGATAGCAATAAACTATGGAAAGACCATCCGATACTCATGGTTCCAAGAGACGACATGAACTGGATGTTTGAATTTAACCAAAACTTGCGAATAAACCTGGGTACCAAAAAGGAATGGGAAAGAGAGGGAAATAACTCTTTTAAAAATGGCACCATCCTCTGGTACACAGATGGATGTAGAACACAAGAAGGTACAGGGGCAGGAGTATTTGGACCTGGAACCAAATACTCAGAACCCATGGGAAAATACACCAGTATCTTCCAAGCTGAGATTCATGCAATCGAAAGATGTACCCAATTCAACCTAAGTAAAGGGTACAAAAACAAGAATATAGCTATCATGTCAGATAGCCAAGTTACCATCAAGGCACTAAGCTCAAATACCATTAGTTCAAGGATGGTGCTGAACTGCAAAACCAAACCAAATATATTAGGTATACAGAATAACGTCAGACTCTGCTGGGTCCCAGGACACGTGGGAATAGAAGGCAACGGGAAAGCGGACACCCTTGCAAGGAAAGGGACTGCTACACCACTGATAGGACCTGAACCCTTTTGTGGCATAGGAATCCACACTGTTAATGAATATCTCAGACAGAAGGACAAAAAGAAAATGAGGGGAAACTTTGGAATTCATTCATTGGACATAGAAGAAGAATCTTCTAACCAACTTTGCTAGGAAAGAAATCACAGAATGTGTCAAAGGAAGCAGGAACAGACTGCGAATCCTAACAGGACACTGCAGATTAAATGTACACTTAAAGAAAATTGGAATAATCCAAGATGGCACATGCAGATTCTGCAATGAGGCAGAAGAGACACCAACACATTTACTAACAAACTGCGGAGCCACACTAGCCCACAGGAGGAAATGTTTTGAGATGTATAATGTGACCATAGAAGAGCTTCAACCACTGAAACCGGGCCTATTAATCAAGTTTCTTGATGAAATAGGACTCATGGATGTGCTTTAGGCAGAGAACGGGGACAATACCTCTTAAAGGGCGCAGTATATTACACCCCGAATATAACATCTACATCTACATGAAATGACATAATGTCTGAACCTAGATCAAGTTGCAATAAAAAGCCAATTTGTGAAAACCAAATGATTATAAACGCTGATGAAAACATAGTAGGAAGTTGTTTTTGCCGGATTAAGCACCTACCATTGAAAACCACAAAGGGTCAACTAATGGCACGTAAACTTCCACCCAGAAGTAGCGTGTGCTAGGAAATTGTAACCACTAAACCAATGCATGTGAAATTTATAATATATAATAAATTTATAAAACTACTATAATTAATCCATGTTATAAATAAAACATTAGTCGCGGTATAAATAATCTTGTCCATGCACTTGATGGTGCGTGCAATTTATCGAATGGACTTGTTTTTAAAGGTAGATGAATTTCAGTATTTCGCCCTATTCAATCGTGGATTGGCCTTTGGTTATAACCTTTACGATTTGTAGCGACTTCTAATTGTAATTGCATGTGTGGTGATTAGTGACCATTCTCACACCAATAACAAATAAATCTGACGTAATCTACAAGATCAACTGTTTCAACTGTCCGGCAACTTACATCGGTCTTACATCCCAATATCTGGACAAGAGAGTAAAGCAACATATCTATGAGTGCAAAAAACCTAAGCAAAATCCTACAGCACTCGCTACCCACCATCTTGAACACCAACACAATTTCGACTTCAAAAATCCAAAAGTATTACACACAGAACAAAACAAACATAAACGTAATTTCTTAGAAATGGTTTATATCAACAGAGATAAACACAGCATCAATTACAGAACAGATACATGTAAACTCAGTCGCAGCTACGCCAATATCATTAATCAAATTCAATACAGATAACATACCTATATCATCACATTACATTCCACACATCAAATATTTTTCACATAGTCTAATTTTCCAACAATTTAGCTTTCCTTTTCCTATTTATCCCTTTCTATATAATCCTGAAAGGATAATCTGGCCGAACCATTACCAACACATTTTTTCCCTTCGTCGGCTCTTTTCACCTCAAAGAAGCCGACGCCTTATACAAAAATGTCTTTTCTATACCGACTTCCTTCCCCACCCCTTCAAAATCCAACGTATATAAACATAAAACAGCAAAATCTCACTGGCACTCTCGACACGACACGCAAGAATGGCACAATTACACAGAAGACAAACACTTTGAGTGAGTAGAAATACTTTGATTGAAAATAAAAAATATATTTTGCATTGTATAAATTCACTTTTCCACATCCTAAATGTATTTGTTAAATGTAAACAATGCTTTTAAATCCCAGGCCCTGAAGATGATCTCAATAAAGATCGAAACGTTGGCACGATAAAGAAAATGTTTTTCTGAAACCTACATCACACCATACTGCATCTCACGATTTCTGAATTATAATTGCAGTTAAAACAAATCGCAAAATAGCAAGTAGACCAATTTTTGAAGATGTCTAAATGACGAATTGACACAGCGAGGATGGACGGACCAAACTGGACCAAATTACAGGCTCAACACCCAGCAGACCACAATATTTCAATAGGTAAAAGGTACAATTGTGTACGGTGATTTACCAGAAAAAATTTATCCTAACAGCATTAGAATGAGAAAAGATCCAGTATGTTGTGGAAATAAGGGGCCACTGCATGATTTATTTCCCTTGGAGCACCGTTGGATAAATGATCGTCGCCCATCATCAAAAGCTGTGCAACACGGGCGAATCAATATTGCAAAGGTGAATGAAAACTTTAAGGGAATTATTTAGAAAGCGCAGCTGGGTCTGATGAGAAGGGGGAAGTAACGGAGGCCTCTTATGAATCAAAAACGACAATTTTTCTTCCCTGGAGCGTAAAAGAAAGCTACTTACGCAAGGAAGCAAGGATGCGTGGATTTTCTTAATAATACAACGGCTTTTGATTATTAAATCAATTTGAAACTAAATTGTTTTTAGGTTATAATTATCCTATTACAATCGGTTGTGATGATGATGCATTGCGTTCTAAATTTCATTCTGTTTTGTATCATTCATTGTGATTCATTCTAGCAGTCAATCTAAGTACTAAGCACACAACCGGCATTTACTGACCTTATAACAAATAATTTGATCTATTTTTTATATGCAGTTAACACTTTATTATAGATTTATTTGATGATGATGAAGGGATACCAGGAAGTAGTTTTTTTTTTCTCAAGCACTGTAGCCTTCTGGCTTATTTTCCTTTCCTAGTTCCTTATTTCAGTCTGTAGACTCAATGCTTATCTTGAGTACTAGAGATCTAACTAACTAACTATCTAACGATCTAACTACATCGTTGAGTACTAGATCATTGCTACAATTCCTTTCCCTGAGTTTTCTTTGTATCCCAGTTTAAATCTCTATTGAGCTGTTGCTTCACATTCGAAGATGAGAAGGGTGGTTGTTCTTCCTACTCATTGCATAACCTACAAATGGGATCATCATTGAATATACCCACCCAGGATATGTAGAAGCCAGTGACCAGTATATAACAGTGAGTTTGCTAGTATTGGTTGTTATAGTATAAGTTTAGACTAGCACGTCTAGAGATTATCCACTTCACCTTGTCTTTTTTGGCTCCATTCTGGAAGAGTCTGTGTTTGTTTCTGCTATCCGAAGAAAAGGTTCAGAGTCTGTATATAGTCTTGTAGATCCTCCTCTGACAGGTGTGTTTGCTTTTTAGTTACCCCAAATTCCCTTATGTCCGTACGCAAAATATAATCAGGTAGCTGTGTTTCCCCGAGGTTTGGAAATTCTTGATGCATTCACTGACTAGTTTCGATGTGACTGTTTCATATGCTAATGCTTTAATAGCAGCTTAGCTAACTGATCTTATGATTTTTTTGACAGTGTAACCTCTGTTATAAGATTAACAGTTTTGTAGTTTTTCACCTTCGTCAACAATCTATACTAGTACTAAAATCGTTATTTTAACATAAATATCTTAGTAATTATAAATTATGTCCATAACGGATAAAATGAAAGAGA